TTCATTTATATAATAGAGTTGCGATGGACCGAGTGGTTTCCCTAAAATTCGTATGTTGGAACCCTGGCCCCTGGTGTGACTGTATCTGGATAAGGTTTTCAGGGAGATCGTTGAAGTTCCCAAGGGTGGGGCCTTAACCTGACAGGGCTAGCGTCCTCCTAAGAGTAAGAGACCCCAGAGATCTCTCTGTGCACAGAGAAGATGTCACGTGAGGACACTGAGGATACAGGCATCTAGAAGCCAGAAGGAAAAAAGCTTCAGTAGAAACTAAACCTGACGGAATCCGGATCACGGGCTTCCAGGCTCCAGAGCTGTGAGAAGATAAATTTCTGTTGTTTAAACCCCCCAGCCTGTGGTATTTTGGTGTGGCAGCTCGAGGAGACTAACACAGGCGTCAAGAAACTGATGCGGATGGAAGAACAGTGGAAGTTTACAAATATAAAGTTACGAAGGTGGGTGACCCAGAGAAAATGTTTAAGTAACGTAATTATTGTAAATTGAGGCCCAAAAAGCGGGGTGAGTCTATGAGGCCCAAGAGCGGGGTGTGTGCTATGTGTGGTTCCAAAATGAATGCTTATCTCAAGTAGGCAGGAGAAAATGCATTAGGAGGCAGGAGAATAAACAGTCCTTGCTCTTGGGCAACCTTCTCAGAGCTCTACAAGGACACGGGGTCCACGCGTCCTCGCCCGAGACGCACAATTGTGATCAGCAGATTCTAACATGTCATGAAGTGGTTCCTGCTTCCAGGTATTCACGCACTTGTGTAAATTATCCACAGAATACGGCCAAAGGGATGTGGGAGGTCATGAGGTTCAATGACAGACTCCAGATTTCATCTGGCCATCTTTCTGGTTCTCTCTCTTGCTCGCTCTGCTGACTGCTAGCTGCCAGGTGGTGAGCTATTCTGCGGGAAAGATGATCCAGAAAGATGCTGAGGCCTGCAGCCGCCTGCCAGCAAGGACTCGCGGCCTTGAATCTGACAGCACGTGAGGAACTGAATCCAGACAACGAGCACGTGAGTGAGCCTGGAGACACATCCTCCTCCGATTGGGCCTCCAGATGGGACGCAGCCCTGGACGAGGCTCACCTTGACGGTAACCTCACGAGGCACCTTCATCTAGAGGGCCCAGCTAAAGCACATCTGCATTCCTGCCCCCACACGTTCTGTGAGATTATAAATGTTCGTTGTTTTTAAGTCTCGAACATTTGGAGTAAATTGGTATTTGGCAATAGGTAAGTAATAAAAATTTCTTTATCATTTGTGGACTTCAATTTTGATTTACTTTTCTCATCTGGAGTTGTGGCCAAGGTCACATCTGGGGCGGGACAGAGACTGCCACTGGTCTACCAACAATCATTCTCCTCATCTTCCCTATTAACTCAGTCCCATCACATTTACCACATTTCCTAGCTTCCTTGGAAGATGCCCATGTGACACACTTTAGGCTAAACAATCTAAAAGCAGACTGGGGGAGAGGGCATCCAGGAAAGGCCCTTAAAAGAGGACCATACCCAGTTGGCACATGTGTTTTACTGCTCTTCATTTCTTGCTTCATTCCTACGTGGGCCTCATGCTGGCGTCACAGCAGCCATGATGCACTGTGAGGCAACAAGTACCTCCTACAAGTGAATGAGTGGAAAGACAGGAGTCCAATCTGTAATGGCACCCTGGAAGCATAAACCATCCCTAATCTGACCATCGTAAGGCCACTAATTTGGTTAAGCCGCTGTTTGTCAGGTTTGAGTTACCTGCAGCCAAACTTAGTTCCTAACTCAAACACAGGTTCTTGGCACGGCTGCTGCTGAGATGTAGGTGGTTCAGCCTGAGCTCACCATTCAAAAGCTTTCCCTGTGCCACACATTCTGAATTCACAGTATCTACTGATATCCTCTATGAAAGAGTATTTATCACATAAGAAACTTATTTTCTTTTTCACAAATTTCTGTTTATAATAAAAAGAATGATGTTTCTAGAACATTTAGTACAGGGGAAAATAAAATATAACACCCATTATGGTCCTTAATCAGTCACTTAATAAGGAATTAAATTATATCAATACATATTGAATGCCTTAAAATATATATACATATATATATATATATACATATATATATATATAAAAAATTTGTCATAGCAACTCCGCTTTCATTTTTAACCTAAGGAAGTAACTTGGTAAGTGGAAAATACAGGTGCTATCATCTCTTACACAGAGCAGAATCATCTCCTGTTTTAAAAAAAAAAAATTATTTTGGAGAGAGAGAGAGAGATGAGTGGGGCAGAGGGGGGGGGGGGGACAGAGAATCCACACTGTCAGCACAGAGCCTGACTCGGGGCTCGATTCCATGAACTGTGAGATCATGACCTGAGCCCATATCAAGCATCAGATGCTTAACTTCCTGAGCCACTCAGATGCTTTAGAACCAACTCCTTTTTCATGGTCACTTCCCACCTTCCACCACCAAGTTATTTAGTAAAATATTATCTATCACTCTTTTTATGGGCACCAGTAATTAAATTTTCATCCTGTTACATTTCCTAAGGTAACTCTGTTGGTAGCTGTATCAGGTCATTCTTTTTTTTTTTTTTTTTAATGTTTACCTATTTTTGAGAGAGAGACACAGAGCACAAGCTGGGGAGGGGCAGAGAGAGGGAGACACAGAATCCAAAGCTCCAGGCTCCAAGCTGTCAGCACAGAGCCCGACACGGGGCTTGAACCCACAAACTGTGAGCTCATGACCTGAGCCGAAGTCAGTCGCTTAACCGACTGAGCCACCCAGGCGCCCCTATCATGTCATTCTTCCTCAGAAATACTAGTGGTATTCAAAACTGACCAACCTTAATCTTTCTAAGTAGACTGTTAAACAGACCTTATTGTAAGCGGTATTAAGTGGTGATCTCTACATGCTTTTTCTAGTGGAAACTATAGGTATGTGGGTATGTTGGGGAACGTGATCACCAAGTGACCCATGAGCTGGATCAGGGCACTCCGAGGTTCCTCACTCCCTCCCCTTCCTTGGAATGTGGGTTCCATTTGTCTTTCCTGCTCCCAGAGGCAGCTCCAAGGACAGAGCCTTGAGATGTGGGTGTGATGTTGAAAACACCTGCATGGTATATGTGACTGAGCCCACTTAGGGCCTCATTAGGAGTTTTAAGATCTGGAGGTGGGTGCAGGTATCCGTTCGTCTTGCAGCAGCCCAAGACAAATCTCGTATGTATGTTCCCTTTGCTATTATTAAAACTGTCACCTACCAACCTGGAGCGGCCTGCCTCTTTCTTTGGTTTCTCCCTGCCCTCTGCGGACAGGGACAGGCTCCAGATTATACCAGAAAAGCTCCCAAGAGGGCTGTGACACCACCGATACAGAACCCTCATTGGGTCCGCCATGCCAACATGTCTTAGCACACAAATCATCTTCAGGTTAAGAAGGTATACCATTCAACAGCGGCCATGATGTTACTAGTAACTCTTCAGAGTTGTATTCACTATTCACACAGACAACAACCCCTCTCTACGTTCAAAGAATATTTTGGCAGTATTCCTGGAAAAGGCAGTAAAAAGATGTGTACGAAGTGAGCCAAGAAGGAACCAAGAAATGGCAGAACGTACTGAAAAGGGATTCACCTTTTGTCGCAACTTATTTAAGTCCCTCCACTGTTGCCATGGTTGCAACATCACACAGCGGCCAGAGCCTGCAAGGGTCTGGGCACATTCCGGAAATAATTTTACTATTTCAGGTTTTGCCAAAGATACACTAAGTACAAGGAGCCTTTTACAACAGCCAAATGGAGCGATCAGGGAAGCAGCTGGACACACAGAAGGAATGCTGAGGGAAGGGGCTTCGGATGGAGATCTATTGGCATTGATCTCTAGGTCAGGAGATGACCTTGCTTAGGGGACGGCTGAGGGAGAAGAGAAGGAAGCCGAGGCCGCATCTTTAGGCGTCTTAACGTGCTGTCTTAGCCCCCCCCCCCCAAATCTTGAGTAAACGTCCAAAACACATTACTACCTCACTAGTATTTGGGGGGTCAGATGAAAATGCCTGGGCTCTGTCTTGGGGCCAGCACACGCAGAATGGCTTTAAGTGAAAAGGGAACTTTTTCCAGAGGCAGCAAGAACACCCTGAAACCTGAAATCTCTGAAAGGCGGCTGTGCTCCCATCAGGAGGTGGGGGTGGGAGGGTGGGAGAGGATTGAGTCAATGCGAACCAAATGACAGCAAAGAAAGAAGCTGCCCCCCGCTGCCGTGGGGGTCACACAGGTCATTTTCCTATGGGTGACTATCTGGTGAGGGAAAAATTATTAAATACATGATTTACTTTGACAGAGTCTTGCCCGTTACCTAAAAGCGATGCTTTTCCCAGCCACTGAGGCTGCTCAGAAGATTTCCTGACACACAAACTAGCCCAGCTGCGGACCACCCTCTGGAAATCATCTGGGAAGATTTCCCGTCCCAAGGCTTCCTATTAGAACCTCATTTCCACTCAGGAGGTCTTCCGTGGAGGCCTCCGTGGAACGCAGCTTATCAAACCCATCTGCAGTCCGTTGCCAGCCTGCATCTCTCAAGGCTGATGGCTCAGCCTTTGTCTGTTGCCGTTTGGTTTCCTAAGCACTAGGACCCGAGGTGGAACCTCTGTTCTGCCCACGTCCTCCCCAAACAGGCCGGCCACAGCCACCCGTGGCCTGGGGCGCTGCATCCATTCTGCTGACTTCTGCACTTGGGCCCCTACTGGCCCCTACCCTACATACAATGGAATTCGTTACATAAAACTTAAAAAAAAAACAAAACAAAAAAAACCCTAAAGATAAACAAAACCGATTCAGATATCCTTGGACACTTCGCTTTTCAAGAGCTTTGCTTCTGCAGAACAAGGAGGCCTCCCCTAGGGTCTCTCGCAGTTTTAACATCTAGAATTGCCTTTTCTGGGCAGAGAGGCGGGGCCTGGCCCGGGACCCGTGAAACTGGGGACGCGGCCACGAGGACGAGCCGGCGCAGCACCTACCAGGGTGTGTGCGTGAGCTGGGCCGAGGGAAGGGACGGGAAGCCGGCCAGAGGAGGAAGGTCGCCCCCTGCGCGGACGGAGTCCAGGCCCGCGTCCTCGGCGCGGGGCCTCCTTCACGCCGCCGCGGGTTCCTCCGCTCGGAAGCCCGAGGGCAAGGAGCACGCCTCCCGCGCGCCTCGAGAGCTCGGGGACGGGCCGCCCCCGCCAGCACACCCCGCCCCAGCTGCTGCCAGGCCACCACAGCGCGTGCTTCCCACTCTTCCTTTCAACGACTCCGGGCTCCTTTCGGGCCCTCGGCGCGAG